GACATTGATAAAAAATAATGAATGGTCCTAATTTATCAGTTTTACAACATCTTATTTATATTCACCAACCAGAGAGGTTGAAATGGGGTTTAACGTCAACTTGACACAATGAAGGTCATTTCAGTATACTAACATGGTTCAATTTTCTTTCAATAATTGACTTGCATGTGGGAGTTTTTAGCAGTGGGAGGAAACCATAGAAATCACACGAGGTTGGACAAGCGACCCCACTCCTTGTCAAATACAAGCAGGTAATCAAGACCACCCCACTCCACTTCACTCAATGACAGACTTGTGATGCAACGCAACGTGTTGCGTGTTGACTAATCGCTGTGTTATTGGTAATCTTAAACCAAATACTAGTAGGCCTACATGTTATAAGAAGATGTACATAGCAAATAGTATTAGGCATTATGCTAGGAGTTCAATTACAAAATACCACCACCATATATTTCACAATTACACAACTTGGTGTCGAAAGACAAAAGTTTTATGCCGAGTTCTAGATGTATGAATGATGCAAGTTTGAAAACAGGAATACCTGGTTAGATTCCACATAAAATGAGTTAGTTAAAAAAAATACACTGGTTTTTTTTCACAATTACACAAAGTTTGAAAGTATCAAAAGACTGAAAAGTTATGCTCAGATCTAGATGTGCGAATGAATGGTGCAAGTTTGAAAACAGAAACTCATAAAGTTTCATAAAGATATGCTTGACGGCATGCTATGGAATCAAAATTATGTCAAATTTATCTTTCTGAAACACTAAAATTATTCAAATGAAGCAGTAAAAACAATGAATATAATGAAAAGCAGGCCTTAAAAATAATGAAAGGGCTGCTAATGCTATACACAAGACACAATTCCTTGAAATAACGTTACTGTTACTGTAAGGTTTCAAAAAGACTTTCTGGTCCACTCTCACGTGTGTCATGTGTATAACCCAGTGGTTCTCAACCTTTTTTTGCCAACGGCACACCTTGGAACACATGAAAAAATAGTGGCACACCTGGCTATATAGTTTTGCAAAATATAAACATTGTAAGTCGGACGTCATACAACCATAGACAGACTAGTCATAGACACATAGAATGACTCCAACTAAATAAAGAAAAACACAGCTATGAACTTATCAGGATACAACAATGAATACTTAATTGTTTTTTCACATTTTCTTAGTGTGCCGTTCAAAATTTCCCGGCATACTTGGGAAGATCTCCCGGCACACTGATTGAGAATCGAGAATAACTGGTATAACCACTGGCCTACCATGACCCACTATCAGAGCTAAATAAATAAATTACATATTACCTGGTAATCTAGCTGGTATTTGCTGTGTAGGCTACATGTAATTAACATATTTTATCAATCTGTGAAATATATTCCTTATTTCCTGATAAGATGGAAAGAAAAATGAACAAATAAAATTAGCTTACATACTAAACTATATACAAACCTTTCAATTTCATCATCTGTATTAAACTACATGTACTAGACTAGAGTCTAGATAATTATAAAATGGATATTGTTGAAATTCAGTAGGTTTCTTCATTTTACAAATTTAAATAATATATTATTCATCTAAATTTAAAAAGATCAGATGATAACTTTAGTCCTCAGTGCACAAGGTAGTAATATTTTGAATTAAAAAAAAATATTACATGTCAACCATCACAAATTCACGTCATTATTAGGCCCAGAGTTTTAGGTTGTTTTTTTTTCGAAGAGACTTGCAGGCTGCACAATACTGGATTCACAAAATCTCCTCAAAAAATAAAAAAGTTCTGACTGTATAAATAAGTGTAATCAAATTAACACACGTGCCAAAATCGTAGCTAATACTATACTAATGTACATCTTAACGATTAGATTAAAGATTTTAAACTAAAAATACTGAATGCATACAGGTGGATTGTGGGTAAAAGCACTCAGCAGATCGGAATATTTAACAGGTCAAATATTTTCCAGATAAAACAATGATCCAGTAGGCCCTATTGTGCATATTTAATAGGTCAAATATTTTCCAGATGAAACAATGATCCAGTATTGTGCAATTTGCACATGTAAACAAACCCCTTTACGAGTTCGACGTAATATGAAGCAATATGAATAGATAACTATGCGTGGAACTAATAATAAACAGTAAGTTCTAGTTATTGTAATGATCTATAAAATACGAAACCCCCACACCACCAAAGCTGGTTTGGATGCTTTTTGATGCAACTTGGGCTTAGCCCTTGTTTATTGAACACACGTACGCCGCCTCGAATCCGGGTGCGAAGAACTTTGCGGTGGTATAACTCAATACGCCAACATAGAAAGTTAATGAAATTGGGCATGTTCATGCCTTATGCACCTGTTATATGTCCAGTTGGAGAAATAAAGATATTGAAAATACCAAAGCTAGTTTAGAAGTTATTGCGTGCGCGATGAGCATACCCTTACCCGATTCTCCAATATGTTTAGGATGTTTACGGTGATATATCTCGAAAAGCCAGCATAGGAAGCTTCTGAAATTTTGTATCCTAGTAGTTTATTCATCCCTTGATTTCGTGAAACAAAAAAACATTTTGCCACCAAAGCTGGTTTGGGTGCTTTTTGATGCAGCGTGGGCGTATCGTTTGTTTATTGTACTCACGAACCTCGCCTCAAATCCGGGTGCTAGGAACTTTTTGGTGGTATAACCTGATACGCCAAAATAGAAAGTTAATGAAATTTGGCATGTTCATACCTTATCCATCTGGCGATTTGGTGAAATAAAGATTTCGAAGCCACCAAAGCTAGTTTAGAGGTTATTGTGTGTGCGACGAGCCTACCCTTACCCGATTAACTAATAGTTTTAGTATGTTTACGGTAATGTATCTCAAAAAGTCAGCATAGAAAGCTTATGAAATTTTGTATTCTAGTAGTTTATTCATCTCTTGATTCCGTGAAACAAAAAATATTTTCCCACCAAAGCTGGTTTGGGTCGTTTTTTGATGCAGCGTGAGCGTACCGGTTGTTTTTTGGACCTACATACTCTACCTCGAATCCGGGTGCTAGGAAATTTGCGGTAGTATAACTCGATACGCCAACATAGAAAGTTAATGAAATTTGGCATGTGCATACCTTATGCATCTGTCGATTTAGTGAAATAAAGATATTGAAGCCACCAAAGCTAGTTTAGAAGTTATTGCGTGTGCAGTGAGCCTACCCCAACCCGATTCCCCCATATGTTTAGTATGTTTACGGTAATATATCTCGAAACGCCAACATAGGAGCCTTCTGAAATTTTTTATTCTAGTAGTTTATTCATCTCTTGATTCCGTGAAACAAAAAAACATTTTCCCACCTAATCTGGTTGGGGTGCTTTTTGATGCAAAATGGACGTACCCCTTTTTTGCATGCTCAGTTAGCCTAGTGTGCAATATTTTAGTATGTTTACGGTAATAGTATATTTTGGGGTGTGGAGTGGGGTTGGGGGCTCTATTACATATATACTTTGCATTAATATGTTTTCAAGTTTTATTTTCTAATATAAAAGTAACAATTATTTTCGTGATAATTACATCATCTAGGTTTGTCTTGGCGCTAGGAATATGTGGGCTAACTTGATCTCGAATCCTATGGAAGACCAAATGGGACAATATTCATGATTCTTGTTTCTACATTCCAGTTTGCACATTTTAGACACGAACGCAACATTCTAAACTAATGATTCTTGTTTCTACATTCTTATGTCAACATTTCATGCACAAAATCAACATTTTAAACAAAAAATTGACTTTATGTTTCATTTTCGGCGTTTTATCGGTAACTTTTATATATCATTAAATATTAAAATTAAAAAATAATTTCTTAATGTTACACGACAAAGAAATCAATTCGTTGGTTTCTGAAAGTATCTAAAAAAAAATCTGGAATTTGAACTCTTATGAAAATATTTTCTACGTTTCAAAAAGTCTTGAAGTTAAAATCTTGAAATGAAAATGTCCAGAAAAATATAATGAATTATCAACATTATTACACCAGAGGGCGTTAGCGTATGTGTACAACTTTGATACAGACTATAGAATAGAAATCAAAAGTAGACTTTTCCACTCGAAACACGCGAAGGTCTAATTTGCAAACACTATCTTATAGTTATAGTTAATATGAAAAAGTAAACAAATAACAGTGAATAGATTTCATTTAAAACACAGCATTATCATCCATTTTTGCCATATTCGAAACACGTGTACGTCTAATTTGTAAACATATGAAAAAGTAAACAAATAACAGCGAATATGTAAGAAAGGCCTTTGTCCTAATTTTTCTAGCTGTTTAAATTATAGAAGTTATTTGTATTGTTATTATATCTAGAGCTTAATTGCTGTTTCATGCAACTATTTACTGTAAACACAACAGGGGCCCACTTCCACTCGTGGAAAAGTCTACTTTTGATTTCTAATCTATAGTCTGTATCAAAGTTGTACACATACGCTAACGCCCTCTGGTGTAATAATGTAAATAATTCATTACATTTTTCTGGACATTTTCATTTCAAGATTTATATTTCAAGACTTTTTGAAACGTAGAAAATATTTTCATAAGAGTTCAAATTCCAGATTTTTTTTTTTTTAGAGACTTTCAGAAACCAATGAATTGATTTCTTTGTCGTGTAAAATTAAGAAATTATTTTTTAATTTTAATATTTAATGATATATAAAAGTTACCTATAAAACGCCGAAAATGAAACATAAAGTCAATTCTTTGTTTAAAATGTTGATTTTATGCATGAAATGTTGACATAAGAATGTAGAAACAAGAATCATTAGTTTAGAATGTTGCGTTCGTGTCTAAAATGTTCAAACTGGAATGTAGAAACAAGAATCATGAATATTGTCCCATTTGGTCTTCCATAGAATCCGGGTGCTGGAATACGGTGAGAGAATATGTGTGCTAAATTGATCTGGAACCCGGGTGCTTCGCTCGGTTCTTAACAAAAACAATAAGACTACAGCAGGTTGATGACAATACTTATTACTATCCAAAACTAACTAAATGTCACCAATTCGTGGTATTTTGTTAGTATTCTGGGTAATATTGGATAAATCGTCCTTCCGCGCGATAACAGCAAACCTTTTTACTTTAAAATAAGCATTATCGAATTCTTTGAGTCCGAGCCAGCGATTGGCTGTTTTCAGGTTAGTAATAATTCAGTATCAAGCGAGCGCGTGCTGATATTTATCCAGGGGTCATATAGTGAAGCCGTCATACATTAGGGTTGTTCGCAATTTACAGATCCATAGGTTTTTCATTTTTTAAATTATTTTCTCCAGTTTTAGCAGATATTGTGTATTATTTATTATCGACAGAAAATGCAGGTAGGTTATATTTTGATCTAAAATTGCCATTTTTTGTCAACAAAAGTGGAAATTCCAATTGGGTTTCTTTGTTCACGCACCAAATCTGCCATATCGACAAGCGGCAAGACACTGTTGGATTGCCATTGGACCTGAATAAACAAAGGAATAACTAATTCGGGTGCTATTTTATACTGTCTACAATTATAGTTAAACTAACTTGGAGCAGAAATAACCAGAGATATAATTTGATTTCATAATGTACTAGTATGTTTACATCATAATAGACCCATTGTCGGTTCGCGGGTAGGCTAGTCGACGCAGTTGGGTTTTATTTTATTGCTGCCTCGTAGAGCGGAATACTACTAGACTAGCCTATAATGTAATTCCATTCCAAGCCAAAAATGGCGAATCGATTTTTGTAATTTTGAGAATCAGTTGTTTGTAGTCTTTGACGGTCAAGTGGGGTTTTAAAGATCATATTTAATTTTTTGAACAATGCAAAAGGAAATGCATAGGTCCCGAGTAGGCTAGTGGTGTAGTGCACAGAGTCTAAAATTAGTAAAATAGCCCCACACCCGTGACCCTGTCACTTCTCCAACAGAAAAAGATTCCCCCACCCCCTACAACCCACCCCCATCTAAACAAAGAACAGACATCCGAAAAACAAACATACAAAGAAAAAAATGACCACATTGGAATAGAATAGTTTTACCAGGAGTTAGCCATGAAACAATCAATAGCCAAGGCCACAGGATCAACAATTGGCAACAGTGACCCTCACCATATCCATTAAAATGATTTCATATCATGAGTCATCATGCAACCTGGTCTGATGGATCTTGGTAATTAGATGCCAATAGCCGACCTGCAGATTATTGATCAGTATGGTTTGTGTTTGTAATGGCGGCATGCAAAACTTATCTCTGTTGAGGTATTCGATCTGATCTATGAAATTGAATGATTCTGTAGGGCTTCAGTTCAAATTTGTGTTTGTGCCACATAATTAACTTAGAGAACAGTTCAAAATTTATGTATCTCAATCTAAGATATTGTTACAAGGTATCATTCATACTGTAGCTTACATCATGGGTTGGGTTACTTCTGATCGTCATGCAGTTCTAACAATGTCGATTGGCATTTGTGCCAGTCTCGATAAAAATAGCCTAGATAATTGTGGCGATATAATTTAAATCTGATGATTTGCATGGAGGGAGGGGAAGAATCCTATTTAATTTCAATAATTTCTGTTTATTATGTCTAAAGTTATGGACCTTGTTGAACGCGGGGGATCACGTGGCTAAGACGCTGGCTCACTAGCCTGGAGGTCGGTTTTTCGATCCCTGCATTGGCCGAGAAAGTTCATCCCGATTTTCCGGCTTGGTTTCCCCTTGTCAGTGATGCAGGACGGAGGGCCTGACAAAGACAGCTGTCTAGTCGTTCGGATGGGACGAAAAACCGAGGTCCCGTGTACACATTGGCGTGCACGTAAAAGATCCCTTGGCAGTTGGAATTCGATATAAGAGTAGGCCGTAGCGCCGTTGCCCGGGCAAAATTTCCCTCATAGCACACTGTTTGGCATATGCCCGTCTTCATTAGCCCAGGTTAGGAGCAGAACAGTAGGACGTTAAACCCCATTTCATTTCATTTGTTGAACACTCTAACGCTATGGGCTATTTTCACAAAAATGTAGAAATAACGGAAAAAAATGGTTTAACCAATATGTGATATAAAATTTTCGCAACCATCAAAAAAAAATTCTATATTGTACATCAGCATAGAAGTACTGTCTTTGGGAAAATATTTTGACATGGTTATTATTTAAAATAAAATCAGTATAGCAAATTATGTGGTCAAAATGTCCATTCCGTTAGGTGGTAAAAACTTCTCATTCTCAACTCTAAACTTGAAAATCTGCTTTTAAAATTGAAAGGTCAGTAAAACTTACAGTGCTTATTAAGAGCAAGGTAAAGTGACAAAAATTGTCACTACACCTGAAATAGGGGGGTCCTCACAAAAATCATTCACAACATTTGTAGTGTAGTGCCTGTATTTTGGTATCTGAATGTGCTTGAGATGATACTGAACAATAAAAAATGGATGAAAATTATAAATAATGACTTTGGAATTTGTAACTTTGGAAAATACGAAGCAAATATACATGTACCATTCAGCACTCTGCAGCTACAGGGTAAACAACACAACACAGTCAATCACTTTCAGATTTGAAATCACAAGCCATTCGGGCCAGTAGATTACAATTTTTTACATGCCCAGGCCTAATTTGACTGGCCCAAAAATTCAAAAGTGGTAATACAAATTTTGTTTTACAGATACGTTCCCGCGTACAAACTGGGTGAATTGATGATATATTTGGCCTAAAAACATATTCAAACTAATTAATTTATCATAAAGTTGCTTCAAATCCTTCTCAAAACATTTTAATTGTCAAGAATACCCTTGCTATAAAAAAGAGGTCATGTTTGTGTCACGTGACTTATGGGTGTGAAGTCGGAAGATAATTCATTGCATACACAAGCCGATGTTGTCTTTAATCGCTGACTATTTATTACAAATATCGAATCCTAATTAAATTCTCAGATTATCCACTGCCCTCGTCTTTTTCCGTGATTTTTATCTCAGAAAGTGTTGTACGTCCAACTCTTCATAAAGTTTATCAACATGTACATCAAGCGCTCAATCTCCGCGTTCAACCTTTGACGTAACACGTGCAGATATTCCTAATCGTCGGGCTGTCAATTAGGGGAACCCTGACATTTTTGTCCTGTATACGCTCCATGAGTGTTTTTCAGGGAATCCAGTATTTTTTTTTTAGCAAGATTGGATATCTCTACTTTCCATATATACCAAAATTGCCATTCTTTATTCTCTTTAATACAAATATAATGGATTTTCATGTTTATTTTTTGAATCTCCTTAATGAAGAGCTGACTCGTATAGATTCCGGAAAATCCGTCCCTGCTCAGGCCTGGAAAGCAAGATTCATTGTCATTTTGGATTAAAAAAAATATGGCCTCTGCGTTTAAGACTCGGGCAAGTGACTTCTCGAATTCGGGTAGGTGATGTTTCAGACTTGGGAATAAGTTGAAAGGAAAGGTTGAAAACAGCTGTCACATCAATTTATAATAAGTCAAAACGACTCCATAGAAATAACACGCGGGTAAAATTTACCGCTCGCCATCAAGTACAGCATGTGGAGTCGTGGATCACGCATCGTATAGACCTCTTATTAAACATACATTATGCATGTATGCAAGAGCTAAATCTGTCTATTGCAGGTCTTTCTTTAGGCCTGAAATGTTATCTAAATTATTAATTAGACATTAACGTATCCAGACCGTAATCAACTCTCGATGTCAACGCTAGCCCGCAATGTTTACTGGATTAGGATACCATTTGCTGCTCCACTTTCATTCTTAATTTAATCATGAAATGGATAATCGAGACTATGTTTTTTATCGTACAGACTTTAGTAATGATGATCGAGGCTAGGCCGAAAATTTAATCGCTAAAATCTTGGTTCAGAGTGGATTAATTTGACTGAATTTTTCAGCAAATTCCCTTTACATTATCTAGTTTTTATATGCTCACATTGAAATGTGGTCGTATATTGTCGTCGCTCCCGTCCGTCCGGCGGCCACAATTGCTTGTGGACGCTCTAGAGGCCAAAGTTAATATCTGATTGACTTTAAATTTATACACAGTGTTTAAGGTCTTGAGACGAAGAAGCCTATTGGTTTTCAGCGATTTCCGATAATTATTGCCAGAGTTATGGCCCTTTATCACTTTGAAAAATCTTGTGGACGCTCTAGAGGCCAAAGTTAATATCCGATTGACCTAAAATTTATACACAGTGTTTAAGGTCATGAGACGATTTCCGATAATTACTGCCAGAGTTATGGCCCTTGATCACTTTGTGACGCTCTAAAGACTAAAGTTATCATCCGATTGACTTCAGATTGATACACAGAGTTTAAGATCTTGACGAACAAGTATATTGATTTTCAATGAATTTTTATGTCTTGAACAGCTAAATCCATGATATTAAAAGTTTTGTATACAAAACGTTAACATGGGGCAGAACTTTATAAAAACAAACAAATTCTAATAGTTTTCTGATAATTACTTCATGAGTGGTTGCTCTTAATCAGATTTTAGTGTATTATAAATGTTTCATTACTGAAAAAAGTAAAGATAAGCAACAACTCTTGTTGACTGCCCGGACGATTTAGCTGTTGTGGGTGTATGTTTCGTTGCCTGGCAACCTATCTTTAACTATTATTATAGTGAGAACTGCCAGCTCTTTATCTAATCTCCCTTAATGTATCTTTAAGGAATGGCAATATTTCCAATGTTGAATGTTTATGAAAAAATGTTTTAGTTCTTTATATGTGTAATATGTATATAAAAAAAGTAGCTGACAAATTTATTAGAAATAGGCCAATTCAAAATACGAAAAAAAAAAATTAACACGAAACACCTGGTTATTAAAAGGCTCCACCAAACGATAATACATTAGTTGCAGAGGTAGCTTTTCTTCTACAGGTCGCTTCAGTAACTAACCTGTACATTGTTCCATATAAATATCGTAATATGAAACCTATGGGAATTTCTAAAAATTCTTGAAAGTCTGCGAATTTGCTTTGCCTCGGCGACATAAGATTCGTGCAATTCTATAATCCGTATCCACGTAAATTTCTCCATGGTGCCAAACTTCCGTGCTAAACTGAATACTTCGCCGTTGAGGTGTAGAATTCAGATTCTAAAATATCCGTAATAAATTTAATATCAAAACACGATTTGACACCTGTGACTATGCA